GCACAAAGTGTGATGAGAAACCAATGCTTTTTTGGCTCCTCTAATAATTCTTCTGACAATAAGCCTTTTCATAGTTTAAGAATAGAATCCACTGCGCATGCGATTTTATCCTGAATTTCTCACCTTTTGTTTAATTAAGAGCAAAAGAAGGTTTAGACAAAACAAGGGGGGAAATTCGGGATAAAATCACATGCGCAGTGGATAAACTATGAAAAGGCTTATTATTCCATTGACATTTCCTATGAAAATATAAGTATTTCTACAGACGAAAATAACATTTTCCCCTTCTGATAGTTCCTTTAAATTTCCCTGCTTCACTTTTTGCAGTTCTATATTTTGCAGAGTGCTTTGTAAGGTTTGATGCACATTGCCTATTAGTAATGCTAAACATGTGAACCTCAAAATTATATTACTTGAGTCTAATGATTTTGTTCTAAAATCATGGGCTGATTTAGAATTGGTAGTTCCAGAAATTATCGTCAATACCTCCATTTGGACAACCAGTTGTAAAATGGCAGATGTTGAATATGATGAGCACGAAGAAACAAGTGAAGACGAAATCAGCGACCAAAGTCAGTATTGGTGAGGAAACTGAGGACGACGGTGAATCGAAAGTTRGTGATTCTGAAGAGGACGATGATAAGTCAGTAAAGCACAGTTGGTCGGCTCTCGTAGGAGAAGCTACAGATCGTCATCAGAAAGAGTTAGAGGGTCAAATGGAAAACTACCTGCACGAAGGAGAAAGCGAAGAAAGTGCTGCAGTCAAAGCGCATAACAGTATGTTACCAGTCTATAGAAAGGAGCAGAGAAAAGTTTTGTTGGAAAAGTTAGAAAGGATGCACACACTGAAGAAAGACCCGTATTTCCGAAAAATCATGAAAACTAGACAGGAGCTCATGGACACAGATGACTATGACTGGAAAGAGGCGACTCAAGTTGTGATTCAACAGCGTAAACATCTGCTAAACAATTTATTTCGACCACTTAAAAATGATGAGACAGATGAAGAGGAAGATTTGCGATATCATCAGCGTCCTAAACGTCGAAGGTTAGTAAACTAGAAAGAAAAATTAAATGTACTTTTTTTGCAATGAAACTTTATTAAATATAGTTAAATAGTTATAGAGACGTCCTCTTGTTCTGCTCATTTTACTCATGCTCTGCTCACAGGGGCACTAGGGGCACCAGCTAGTGGCACTTTAAAAAACCGTCATCATGGGAAACAATCGATATTAAGAATGAAACCAAGGGGCATTGTTAGAGGCACTTTTATTTCCCTCTGTTTAAAGAAAGAACATTTGAAAGAGGGGATTAACCTTGTCAACCCAAGAAAGGTGCTCCAATCAATAACCTTGCTCTGAAAAAAGTTCACACCCTCATTTTCATTCATAAACACAACTTTTTCAAATCTTACTTAAACAAAGAACAAGGAACAAATACTCAACAGTAAGATCAACCTCATGAAATTATAAATTTATATATTTCCAAAACAGTATATAGCGATTGATGAAGACAAGAGGCCCCTTCATTCATTCCTAAATTCATTCTTAAGCAATCGGTAAAAATTGTGTGGTCTGGGGCCTGGCTCCTCGCTCCTCATGTTGCAGAACTCTCATTTCAAATCTACTTCCGGCTCCCTCAATTCGGGGTCTTTAATTTCTTCGCTACTGCCTCCTTGAAATTGAATCAAAACAATAGAGCTATAGTATATTGAAATGATGAATCACACAAGACAACGAATCAGTCACATCTACGCCATCTATCACGAATACCAAAAATTGATAAGTCACTAACTAACAAATGTACTTTAAAAAAATCGTGTTCTCTTCATGATTCAATTAAATGGGACATCCCAGGCAAGGATTGACAACACTCCAGCGAGCATTATTCACTATGTTTTTCTTCAACTGGAACATTATATGGATCGTGTGCAGGATGAGAAATGGAAGGGGATCATCGTGGTCATATACTGCTTCCTTTCCATGCAGTACCGTAGAAAGAAGCTTCCTTATACCTTGTCTACCAGTAAACAGCTTGTACACTTCTTGATATAGCCAATAGACATGAAGGGATTGGTCTGGTGGCTTGACAGGGAACACCACCTCTTCATCTTGAACAATTTCAGGCTCCAATGCGGCTTGGATAGCTACAGCAAGTTTTGGATCACAATGGAAGGTAGTTATGGCTGAATGAAGGCGTGGGTTACACTCTAGGCAGTAGATGTTGTTGTTATTGTGGTCTTGGATGAAATCGAAACAGAGTCCACCTGAAATCTTCAACTTACTGCAGAATTCTGTGGTCCATTCTTCTATTTCCTTA